GGGTACTTGAGAGTGAGGATGCCTCTCTTTGACTGCGCCTCATCACCCACGTAGCTGTCTTTGTTGCCCATGCCTACCATAATGCTCTGCTGACGGGGACGACCCACAAGGGAGGGGAAGACAGCACGAGGCGAGTCATCGCCAGCGAAGCCGGCCTTGCACATTCCGGAACCATTGTCCACAACAAGAGGAGTTATTTCTTCTGCCATGCTTCTATCGTATCGCACAAACTGAAAGTGGTGCTTCTGATGATTTCTTGTGCTTTTATTATCGCCACTGTACTCAAGGAGCCTATGAGATGGATGTCATCATCATTTGGCGCCTCTTCACCTACCTGACATTGGTGTAAGCGCATTATGAGCAATCACTAACACAGGGGCGGATTTTTGCAGTGCACTTTACTTGCGCTCTAGCACTCATAGTTGAGTAAGAAATCTACTAGTCTCATCATATTTAATTCGTAAAATGCTTTGAAGCTCAAATGAATCTTATGGAGATAAGAGTTGCGCACCAGTTTGCAAGTGTATTTGGAGGATTTGCAATTGCAAATAGGTATAAATCTGCTCTCTCACACAAGACAACTTTGTTCCCCATGGGAGAGGAAAGTTGATATTAGCATCAAGCTCAATGATTTATTTTGTTCTTCTATTTTAGCACCACGCAGATTCACTTTAAACACTTTCCTTTTAGAAGAGGCAGTAACAAGAGCATTCAGATACGCTCAGTGAGCCTAGCCAACATTTCAAGGGAAAGATACAACATACCTGTTTGCTTGTCAATGAGCTTGCAGCAACGATTGCTAACTTTTGTCTTCAATTACTAAAGCTAAATCATTTAAGTGCTTTTAGAGGAAGCACAGATTGGTGAATCGTTTAACCACTAAACACAGCTCTTACTTATGACTGCCAGTAGCTTGTCATCTATCGTCCACGTAACTCTTTAAGTAGACGGCAGACCTTTCACTCAGCGAACCTACTTTAGACATTAAAAGTAAATGTATTCAGCTCTAAATTTAAATTGTGGCATAACCCCTGCGTTTACTTTTAGAACTTTAACTTCGGCACAAAAACTGCACTTTTAAAGCAGTGGCATAACTAAAAATTAATAAATTATAAAAGCAAAAGGTTTTTCGTTACTAATAGTTTGTTTTATA